GCTTCCTCCCCAGCTCCTGCCAACCCAGCAGCTCGAAAACTTACGTGAGTAGATAAATGGGGACTCTCACCCCGGTGGGAGGAAAAATGCTGACGGCGCTTGCATGGGAGACAGGAGCAGTTGCCAGTAACGCGTAAACTGCACACGCCCAAAAAAGGCGCAAAGCAATGGAAACCCCGCCTCCTGCGCTTGCCAGCTAGGCTCTGCTCTAGGAAGGAGCCAATGGCAAACCACTTCTGAAACACCTTGCCTTGAAAACTCCAGGGACTCATCCAGGCAGTCGCCACAGAATCGGTTGTGATTGAGTGGGGATAAAAAAAAAAAAGATTATCCAAAACTGACAAAGTGCCAGTCATGAAGTTCCTTGAATCTACTTCTTCACATCTTTAGCCAAGGACATGTGGAGGTGAAACTGTTGCAGATTCAGATACAATTGGTGCTTCTTGGAAAGCAAGTCCTGCAACCATTGCAGTGGTAACTGGTGTTTCCATGGTTGTATCAATCAAAATCACCAAGACTCAGTAACTGTAGTTACTCTGGAGATCCCAGTTCCAAGAAGGTATTCTCTATGCAAACATATCCTTAGACATATTACTGAATGTCACTTGGAAACCAAATAGCCCATCCAAAGTGCCCTATTCCTCAAAGGAGAGTTATTCTCCGGTATAACTAAATTAAAAGCATAGCACTAAAATTAACCAGGGAAAGGAATGATGGAGGCAGTGATGAAGCCATCATGATAATCCTATATCAGATATTAAAGCCTTTTGATTATATTTGTAGAATCATAACCACACCAAGAAAGCATAACTTTTTTTTCGAAATGAGGACCCTGAATGGTAGTTTTTTGGCATCCTAGTGACCCATCTAAATACTAACCTGCCCCAACTATGCATAACTTTTGAACCTACCCAAGATCAGCCAGGTGCCCCCTGAGTCATTATAATCCTGAATACAGTTAACATGAATATATTTAATACCAACACTCCCTATTTAATAAATAATGTTAACCTTTGTTCAGATTATAAGTTGCAAATCATCGGGAATTCTAGAGAATACATCTAAATTGTTGGGGAAGCTGCAAGCAGCCCTGGGATCTCCATTTCTAATCTTTGACATAGATATTGACCGTTGCTCACGTCAAGTAATTTAGAGCTGGCCTTGGGGAAGCTGTTTAGGGGGGAAGGAAGAAGCGAGCCGTTGAGAAGGAACTTGGACAAGGGATCACACAATCCAGGGATAGAAGAAAGCATGGGGGAAAACTGCAAAGCAACATTTAAGATGGGATAAAGAGAAATGTGGACAGTCTTTCAAACATTCTTTTATTATAACCTACAACAATAAAGTAGTATTCCAAGAATCACTGCTGTGTCTGTTTCTTGACCTAGTCTATTTACCATAAAGGGTTCACATCAGTCTTAAGAGACTGTCCAAGTTTCTCTCTATCCCATTTTATACTAAAGAAAATCAAGATGGAGTTATTTTGAATTCCTTTCTCATGCTACCTTCTACTTCTGGCCTGTGTAAACCCTAGTTCAAGTCCCTCCTTAACAGCTCACTCCTTCCTTCCCCCTTTAAACAACTCTCTCATACTTTATACCTCATTTATAACAACAAATCATTCAAAATATTATTGGAAGGATAAATCCTCTTGAAGGATAGTCCCACATGGGATGGAAAAGAGATTGAGACGAAAAGACAGAAAATATATGCTTCTTCTGATGTCTCCCCTGATCGGGGTATGAAATAATGCACACTGTTTTTCTAGAATTTTAATTTTATTTTGTACATACCCAAAGTACTGTGAACTGTTAATTTAATGTGTCTGAAAGAAATAATTTATAAATTCCATTTTTTTGTACTTTAATAAATTTGGTGTATGTGGTGTTGTATGTGTATGTAAAGTCTTTGTGAAATACAGTTTGTGAATAATGGAATAATAGATGAAATAATTCGTAGAAAAACAATGGTTTCACCCCAGGAGAACGTGTGCACTCTCCTCTTTCCTGATGCTATCTATTTTGTCTTTCATACCTTTTTAGGCTTTGATGTTTTGTTTTAATGTTTGTTAGCTGCCTTGTAAAATATATACACACACATAGATACACATATGCATACATGGACACACATACACACACCTTTAAAGGGTAGGATCTAAAAAGCCATTAATTGTCTACTCTTCCAGACTGAAAAGATGATCTGTGCCAGTGCTTGAGTTTTTTATTCTCTGGGTCCCTTCCCACTTTTAAAAATTATGGAGGACCCCAAAAGAGCTTTGGTTTGTATGGATTATATTTATTGATATTTACCGTATTAAAAATTAAAACTCATGCATTTGTAGAATATTTATTTACTGAATCATGTAAAAACAACATTAAACCCTTTAGATATTAACATAAATAAAATATTTTTCATGGAAAAATCCCAATTTTCTTTTCACAAATAAAAAATAAGGAGAAGAGTGTCATTGTTTTCAATTTTTGCAAATATCTTCAATAGCTGGCAAATAATTTGCTGAGAAGGTCTTGGGGTCTATGCAAGAAACACTGATCTATGCAATCTTTTTGGAAGAAGAGGAGGAATCAGAGATTACTAGTGCAATGTGGTAAAAGTCTCTTTCCTTAGCAGGCATAGAATGAAGTGGGATCACAACATGGAGCACCAAAGCTCCCTGCTCAGAATTCCAGCCACTCTTTCCATTCCCCTTCTTCTATCTCTTGTCCCCAGCTATTGGTCAGCGTTCTGCAGTCCCTGAGCATGCTCTGCCCTCATTTAATTATTTTGCTAAAAAATGGTGCAACTCTGTAAACACCAGAGCTTTCCTGAGTCAGCTGATACCTCATCCCTTTTGCTAAATGTCACCTTGGAGAATTGAGGTGAACTGTATGTAAGGGTTGCGTACATGTCCTTAACTGTTTTGGCCACCTTTAACTTTCACTTGAAGAACTCAGACCACAGACTTCTTCCCTGCTACCTATTCATCTATTCCTAACTCTTGAACAAGTGTGTGACTAGCGCAAGGCCACCGGTCATGATGGGTTTCATGGCTGAATGTAGATTCCAATTCAGAATCTCTTTGATGGTCTCTCCAAACATGGTGCTCTCCTGCTCTTTCATACTTATTCCAGCATTCACTGCCAGTGTAAATATTTGGGAGATATTCTAGCATGGTCTAACCTGGAGACAGTTCCATCCATACCAGATAATCCCAATGTGCTTTGCATGACAGTGCATTTCAAAAGTTTCTGGAGACCCTCTGATGGTTCTGAAAGTGGCAGCAAGTCACAGACTGGTAGAGGCCATTTGGAAAAGATTGTGTTTATTTTACAACAGCTATATTACCTTGGAATTTCCGGTCAGGGTTCTGATTAAGCACTGTTAAATCTATCCATTGCTTTCCCAACTTTTCTCCATAAAAGCCCACTTGGTCTTTGATATCTGCTGTTGTGAATGCCATCAGTGATGGAGGTGCAGCACTGGCAGAAGGGAGAATCTTTCCTGGTGGCTGCACTAAGACCATGAAACTCCCAGATGGATTCACACAACATGCTCAATCTTAAACCCAGGTTAATAAAACTTAAAGGCTGTATTTGCATAACATGATATGCCCAAACAAGATGGCTTAATGTGATAGTGACACGCATAACAGGATTTATTGACTTGATGCTATTTTAAGACTGTTTTGCTTCTTAAAACCTCCCTTTTCCGTTTTGTGGTTAAATTATATACATATTCTTCATTGTACCATGTTCTGAACATGGTTTCATTTCCTTTGCACTGGCAAAGCAGTTTAGAAATGTTTAAAATGATGCAGTGAAATGAAGATGGGAAACTTAAAATACTACCCAAACGCTCTCCAAACGTATGGACTTCAACTCCCAGAATTCTCAGCAACAGCTATGCTGGCTGGGAAATTCATGCAAACATCTGGAAAGCACTTAAATTGTGGAAAGCAGCAAGAACCAGCTGCATTCTTTAAAAGTGGAAAGCAACTCACTCTTTTTCTGCTGTCTGGGTCTACAGATGGTGCCCTGATCTCTTTCAGCAAGCAGAAGTCAACTTACAACTAGATTTTACTTCCATGTCAAGGAGAGCCCTGTCTTCCAACCACTTCACTGGTCCCACACCCAGCGTTTTCGATTTGAATCAGCTGCTTCATTCTACCTTATTATGGGCTGCATCTTCAGAGAAATAACACTGTTGAATCATTATAAAACTAATTCAGAACCAGCAAAGCTCTCCTTACACATTTACTCCACCCCCACTTGCCAATATTATTTTTGGATAGAACTAAAAAAAAACCCACCTCCCACCAGTTCTAGCCCACCAAGACAATGTGACAGATAATTCTTACTTCATTCTGCTAACAATTAGTCTGTCTTTGTCACCACGATGTCAAGTGAATGGAAACCACAGCTCAGGGGAATGGTGAAAAGTAATATCGCAATAGGAAACAGAGATCAAACGCGCCATGGCTGAATCTGAAGGCAGGAAACAAGATAAGACGGAGCACGTTTTACAATGTAGACATGTGAGATAGGCCGTGTGTCTGAAAAGAAGGTGATTTCCCCAGCGAGATGCCTACCGATCTGTCCTCACTTGCTGGATTCTGCATTTCTTGGCCATTTGGTGAGAGGAAGAGAGAATATCAAAGATCTCAGTGCAACTAGTAGAGGCCTTTCTGAGAACCTGCTTTTATTTGCCCAAGTAATATGGCAGGATTCAATAGAAGCAAATAT